TCGACCAACATTGCTGAGACAGGCGTGACGATTCCAGATGTTGTCTTTGTCATCGACACAGGAAAGACTAAAGAAAATAAGTAAGAGTTCATGAATGAAGCTATAATATCCCATAATGGGGCTGACTTTCTGTTAAATGATTACAGCACATTTTGGAGCTCATATAGTGTTAATTATGAATCACTGAGACATTTGGGGGGAGAAAATGTAGCACAATTTCTGCATGTGATTTATGACACCATTCATGTGCTGGTTAATCATTATATAGGATATATTCATACCTTTTTTGCCTTTGCATGCCACATACTCAGGTGTTAAGTATGTATAATTTAAAGACACATTTCTCTGTGATATTAAAATTAATGACGCCCTAAAATACAAAACCTGAAGTATATAGTTGCAAAAATAAAATCTCTTCATACATACAGTAATATGTTGTTATATTAATATAATTCTTATTAGTATTCCACAGCCACATTTTAGAGGTGCTGGATAATCTTTTGTCTGTTTGTCCATTTTGCCATAAATCCCACGGTAGAGCACACATGTATGACCTCAGATCGCAAAGTTACCCTTTTTAAATGCAGTTCAGGTCTTAGATAGCAAGTATTTATTTAGTAACCACTCATTACTCTACTTAAAACATCAATCAGGACGTCTGTGTTTGCTGTGGTTTAATGATCTGTCGGTCAAGGTAGTAACAACACAACTACACAGTCTCCATGTAGGGATTCTCTGTTCGTGCCTCTGTACTACTGAGAAACTGTTTCCTGTTCTAGCTCAAGCTAAGTGTCGTCTTTTTTGTCTTTACTCTTGTTAACTAGAGTAAAGATACTAGAGTTTTCATCATTTCTGTTTATGTGCGTGTCTCTAACAATAGTTAGGCTCCTGCAGAGAGACAACTTTGACTAGAAATCCACAACCTATGGCTAATGTTGGTCAAAAATGATACAGAACTAAATAGTATATTGATTGAATCCGTGTGTTTTAATACAGTATCTTCATACAACTCTCCTGACAGAATTTGGCACGAGGAGTATATTTATATCTAAAATCTTTAAAAACAAACTTGTGGTAAATTTAACCATCCATTTTCTATGCTTGCTTAAAACAAATGAATGTTTTGCGGTAAGGCAGCTGTGCAAACAACTAAAGCAAAAACTCCCATAGTCGTTGCTGTGTATTAAAGTTTGTACATCTAACAATGTTTGTCTCCATTTTGTTTTCCACAGCCTGGTAATATCTATAAGTGAAAGTCTGCTGAACTAGCATCTTGCTTTGGGCTTCTTCAGGTACCATGAGAGCAGCCAGATGAGTTCTTTGGTGGAAACCTTCGTCTCCAAAGCCAGCGCCCTCCAGAGGCAGGGGAGAGCAGGACGTGTCAGAAACGGCTTTTGCTTCAGACTTTACCCTAAATTCAGGTGTGGAGCATTGTTTGCAGGCAAACCTCAGTAAAACACTCAATATGCCTGTCCTCATAAACGGACCTTTGGTTAGTTTTAAACATTTAAAACGTGACCATTTTCCCTTTTGCGACACACCAGGTTTGATGCCTTCATGGATTACTCCATCCCAGAAATTCTGCGGGTCCCGCTGGAGGAGCTTTGTCTCCATATAATGGTAATGAGGCCACCCTTTGTCACTTAGCAATAAGAAGTCGGACAAAGTCAAACGGTGTTTTTCTCCCGTGTGGTAGAAATGTCAGTATGGGTCCCCGGAGGACTTCCTGAGCCGGGCCCTGGATGCTCCTCAGCCTCAGTCCGTCAGCAACGCTGTGAACCTGCTGAGGAAGATCGGTGCATGTCAACCCGACAACCACATCCTCACGCCTTTGGGACACCACCTGGCAAGTCTGCCGGTCAACGTAAAGATCGGGAAGATGCTCATTTACGGAGCCATCCTTGGCTGCCTTGAGCCCATAGTAAGTCCTGTTTGCTGTTCTTCAGATTACTTCTAAAAAGCTTTTAAGTTACAGAGCCTTATAGAGGAAGTCACAAACCTTGATCTTTCTCTCATTTTTGCTATATTACAACCACAAACTTTACTTTTGTTCAACTGTTTTTTGCTATTGAGATAAAATTTCATTTATTAGTTATATGATTTGTAAAGGAAATTGATTGATCTGCATTTTATTTAGGGGTATGAGTGTAAAAAAACAAAAAGTAAAATGGGAGGAACCCTCGTACTTTCCGTCACCACATAGGATTCTGTAAATATTATTATTATTATTTTTCTTTTTAGTGATATTTTCAGCAGGATTAAAAAAAATGTCTTTCTTTCAGGCAACCATCGCTGCAGCCATCACTGAGAAGTCTCCATTTTCCACACCGATGAACAGAAAGGAGGAAGCTAACCTGGCCAAAGCCGCTCTGGCCACCGCCAACTCTGATCACCTGACCATATATAACGCATATATGGGGTACGGACCAGTTTAAAGATCCTGATGATTTGCTGATGTTTTCGGTTCAAATATTTTCATGAAACATCAAAAACTATCAATTAAAACAACTTAGGAACATCAAAGCAAAGCCCTTAAAAGTACATATAAAGACATCAAGAGTGCTTTTGTAGGAAAGTGTAAATTTATTAATATCTGTAAAGAAGTGATCAACTTTGTTCTATTTCCATGAATGTATATTTTTTATAAGATCAGCTTTGAGGTTTCTTGAGGTCAGGAAGTTTTGCTTAAAAGCATATTAGGAAATACACAGGAAAGAGTTTTTTGTCGGTTTATTACTTCACTGTATAGAACTAGTGACTACATGACAAACTGCACTCCAAGCTCACATTCTTCCTGTGAGCACCGTGGTATTTTTAGAAGGTTTCAGACTTAAATAGAAACTTTTAAAATGTAAAGAGAACCTTTTAATATTTTGATCACCACTTTTTTTTTTTTTTTTTTGCTAAACCAGAACTCCAACACATTAATGATATCAGTTTTGGTGTTACTGTAAAAATATACACACAAAAGTTACATTTCACAGTTTTTTTTTTCCTCTTGATTTATGCTTAATAAGACCAATTGGTCTGGCTTAGATGCCAATTTGTTTATGTTGCATTGCATGGTAAGTAAAGGCATCATGGTTGCCAAACTGTGATTAAAAGAGTTAACAATTGACAACCTAATATTTCAAATGTCAACCATTCACCATTAGTAATGTCAGAATTGTATACATTTGTTTTCTGGCATAAAGTGATTTTATTTCCTAGATCTGTGTTTTCTGATTGTGTTTTGGAACAAAAGTAGATGGGGGTGGGGGGAATGCTTGTAATCCAAAATGTGCATTTTTGTGTTTATAGAATTTGCTGTTTTCTTTTAGATGGAAAAGCTCACAGACCGAGGGACTGAGAGCGGAGATGTCCTACTGTAGAAAACACTTCCTCAACCGAACGGCTCTGCTCACCATAGAGGTAGCGCTCGTGCTCGCTCTTCACCTGCTCCTCACCAAGCTCCTCACATCCCTCCCGTAACGTCCAGTTCCCTCTTGCCCTCCAGGACGTGAAGCACGAGCTGATGAAGATGATGGAGCAGGCGGGTTTCTGGTCCTCTCGCTCGAAGCAGCGGGCGGCCGCGCTGTCCAAGCAGCAGATCTGCATCCTGAATGCGGCGCTGACGGCGGGGCTCTACGACAGCGTGGCGCGGGTGCTGTGCAACCCCCCCGTGGACGGGCTGGAGCGGGTGGCCTGCACCGTGGAGACGCCTCAGGGCAGGGCTCAGGTCCATCCTTCCTCTGTTAACCGTAACCTGCAGGTGCACGGCTGGCTGCTGTACCAGGAGAAGGTAGTTTCCTGTTCGCTCCGTGTCTCTCTCTCTGTGCAGCTTTTGCTGATAAATGTTCCCCCTTTAGGTTAAATACACCAAGATCTACCTGCGAGACACCACCCTGGTTTCTCCGTTCCCCATGCTGCTGTTCGGAGGCGACATCGACATCCAGCACAGAGAGAAGCTCATGACGTTAGACGGATGGATTCATTTCCAGGTCAGAACTTCCCCTGCAGCATGTGTATCGTATTGAACCCTAACAAGAAATTCTTGTCAAAACTTGACTTGAATCTGTTTTATTTGTAAGATTCCGTCACAATTTAGTGGATTTTATAAAATTAGAGGAAAAAAATGACAAACTACCTCTTCCCTTTTTGTAAAGAGAGCATTTACTAGTTTACTTGTGCTAAAGCAGTTGTTAGTTAACGCGTCACACGTCTGAGTCTGACCTTCTGTTCTTCTATGGTCAATAGTTAGAAATTTTGTTGTTCCACTTTTAAGGCTCCGGTACGGATTGGAGTGATCTTCAAACATTTGAGGAAACTGATGGACTCTTTACTTGAAAGGAAGTTGGAGAACCCCAGAATGAATCTGGAAGGTAAACGTAAAATAAAAGAAACATTTTCTATTATGCTTCCCTGAACCTTGATCACCTGTAACTTAGTTACTCCAGAACTTCAAAAATCCTCTGAACTGTGTCACACCACACATCAGCAGTTTGAAAGTTATCGCTCTACCTTGGCTACAATTTTATCACTTAATTTAAAAAAATAACTTTCATTCTTATTGTTGTTTATTTAAGACAAATTGCTCCTCTGTCTGTACGACGCCCCTTTCTCTAGCTAGAATCTAAATTTAGACGGCAGATCGTACAATAAAATGTCTTCTCATTGTAGGTGATGCAACCATCCAGGTGATTCTGGATCTGATCAAATCTGAACACGCTGCGTAACATCAGGAGCTGCAGGTCACTGAAGAGGACTCATTTTACTCACATTGAGGAGAACTGTAGATAAAATGCATACAAACACACTGAAATGTAATCCCCAGATAATAGTTAAGGTTATTTTCAATTATTGTTTTAATAATGTTTATTGTATCATGACTGACAAAAAATTAAATTACAATCAACTGTTAAAATAAAGTAAAAACAGTTTAGATTTTATCCTTCGGAGGAATACTTATGTTTTGTGGATTTTTGTTAAAACGGTACAAGAAAGGCGACTTTTCTTTCCGTGACATCCAGATTCGGTCCCGAGATCTATAATGTTTAGAGCTTGGCATGTTGAATATTTCTTATTAAAACGTCTGATTTATATAGTAGCATTGGCATATGGAGGGGTGAAGTGTCGTCATTCTAAGATCTGAACTCTCTCTACAGCTTTCAGCTGAAATTAACAGCTTTCTTTATCAAGTGAAGCGGGTTTTCAGTAACCATGTCGTGCCGAGCAAAGTGCATAAAGATGCTGCACAACATGTGACAGATCAGAAATTGGTACTGCGCTGCTGACGTGCCTGGAGGAAGTGTTTTCTGTGTTTGGAGTAAAAAATAAAAAAATAAAAAATAAACGGAACAAAACAAATGTATTTGTTTGGTTATACAGGCACAGAACAACACTTTGGAGAAAATGACAAAAGTCAAAAATGATTATGTAGCCACAATAAGAACTGCTGTCTAGTCCAGAAAGATTTACAGTTTCTTGGAAAAGTAGGAGTGCCGACTTGTGCAGATTTTATAACTTGACACAAGTAAACGCCAGTGAACTATATTGGGATTTTATGTGACAGATTATTACTAAGTAGCACATATTTGTAAGATTAAAGGAAACTCGCACTTTTTTTTGTATTTTTTGTTTGTTTTGCAAATAAAGAAAAAAGTCGGGAAAGCATTATGTTTAGCTCAGTACTTTGTGGAACCATCAGTTACCATAGAGTTTTCTGAGATATATTTTTTTGGAGAATATTGGTGAACAGCAATCGTGAAGATTTTCAACTGGGACGCTCTGAGGGATCTTAGGGTTGTTTGCCACATGAAGGCTTAGCTAGCCCTAGCTCTTTACAAGGCCTGTGTGTAGTCTGCCAAGTTTCAGTCGGTGTGCAGAAACCATTTCCATGGTCAGGTGATCTTTTTGGTTGCTCTGGGTTCATACAGGGTTAACGAGCACTGAATAGAAATTCACACCACACTTTTCAGGTCATTTTTATCAAAAAATATTTAAAAACGATGCATCGTTTTTCCTTTGATTTAACAGTTATGCACTCTGTTGTGTTTTGCTCCATCACATACATACGACTTGCCATGAAGTTTATGGTTGCAAAATGTGAAAAAAAATTCAAAAGTTATGAAATGCTCTGAAGACGGATGAAGCAACAATATTTCCTTTTTCCTCTTTCCACCGTCTCAAACTCAACTTCTTTTAACAGAATCATTAATAAAAATACAGATTTGTCTGCAGAACGACAAATTCAAAGGGCATGGCTTCAATAATTTAACTCGTTTTCACGAGATTTCAAATGAAAGTATTGATGGTCTATATTATTTATTATATAATTTATATGTACATCGTATATATAAAGATGGATTTGAAAGAGGATTTTTTTTTTTATTGTCTTGAACAATTCGCAAAAATGTAACAAGTTCAAGTTGATAAATAACTTGGACTGGGACTTTTTTTCTTCCTTACAATAAAAACGTGAGAATCTTGCCACTCACGAGACAGCGGTCAGTCACTTTCACATCAACAAGGAAACGAAAACTGGTTAACAAATGGCATGTTTAAATCTGGGAAAGTCTTAAGTTAATGCAAAAAGAAACAAACAAAAAATCAAAGCACAGTTAATATAAACATATAATCCAACCTAACTGCAGAATTCACACTGCAATTAAGTTTGCATTATCATCTTAAGATTTATGTCTGGTGATCTTCCATGAAGTAAAACACTGATAGTGATTGCTTAATGTGATCAATACATTTATTTTATATATTAACTTCAAACCTACTTCCACTTCTTTTGTTTCATAAAACTACATTCAACACACGAAGAAATCTAAAGTGAAACGTAGTCTGTACACATAGTTATGACACAAATTTTCCATCTGATATGACCGTGTGTTTACAGGAAGCCTAAAAAGGGGAAGCGATGGGCTATAACGGGTAAGTCTGAAACTGCTGGAGATGTATGTGCTAATACTGGATCACGCTGTAATCTCCGTCCTGCACCAAAGAGTGGCGCGCGTCATCTGCAACGAAAGGACAGCGCAATTCAGAACATATAGCAAAATCTGCAAAAAAAAAAAAAAAAAGCAGAGAACTCTTTAGTGAAAGAAAACGCACCTCTATTGTTCTGTGTTGGATCAGGAAGCGGTCCCCTTCTGAAAATTCACAAATTAACATTGAAACATAAATTGTGGCCTTTTTTTGTTGTTGTTGCAGCAGCAAAGAACAAGTCATAAAATGAGAAGGTAACGAAAAAAAATAAAATAAATAAAAATTGTATTTCTTTTTTTTTGCTTACCTCACAGCTGGTGGAGGCACCCGGGAAGGCGGTGGTCCGGTTGGAGACCTCAGGCCCGTGTAGAAGTTCTCATATGCGACTGGAGCTGTTCCAGACAAGCACAGAAATTGTTCACTTACTGGCAAATAATAGTAGATAATTACTTCCCTCTGTTTATGGGACTGGTTAATTGTTAATGGCACGCTATTATCAGTTTGTGTTCCAGTCACACCTGCGGGTTTGTCTCCGGTCCGTCTGAGATTCACAAAGTGTTCGATATCTTCCTGGATGTCACATTGCTCCAGTGACCTTCTAACTTCCTCGTACAGCTTGGCACACACAGACACATAAAACACAAAATGTTATGCATGTTTTTGCTCTGATAAATGCAGTTACCTATTTAATGAGTAAAAAAAAATGGTCAAAGTAGTAAACTGGATAGGCTGGACAAAGGGCAACGTTAATCAGAGAAAGTCTGAGCTGTTTCACACGGGAGGACAGTTCCGGTGTCCAGATGATCAGGCGACAGAGACGTGACCCAAAAATATTAGTCGCGCTTCCTGTGGACAGTGTTCGACAAAACAATGACTCAAGGAGTCTGAATACAAATTAGATATTTTTGGAAGCATTTCCTTCCGCTTTAGATTTCATCTGCTACTTTTTTTTTGCTGAACTATTAGAAAAGCTTCTAATAAAACACACTGGCTTGCGGTTGCAACTTAGCAAAAGGTGGGGAAAAAAAAAAAAGATTTTGCAGGCCACTGTACGAGCAACACCTATTTACAGTCCAAGACCGACATTTATTTTCTGATGCCTGGTGATGTCTGACTCTTAAGCCGCTAAGTGCTTAGCTGTGGTCTGCAAGTAGCTGTTAAATGTCTCCGTCTGCTGTGTGGTGGGAGTGCAGCGGATTAAAATGACTGAGTCAGCACTGTTCCCACTACCTGGAACAACAGACACCAAAAATCGTCACACCTAAGGAGATCTAAATCCAAAACAATAACCTCAGAGAAGCCTACGGAGCTCATTACCCTTTTGATGAGTCAAAAAATATTGACTTTAGCACCTTAAAGTACCTATAATGTCCGAATGTACATGCTAATTTCACAATGAGTCTAAAAACTCATTGTGTTTGCATTTTGCAATGTGAACTTGTACTTAAAAATGCATTGAAAGTCTTGACGGCCTGACATAAACCCTCGCAAAAAAAACGCCGTTTGTGCTTCGATAGGCCAGCTGATTAAGGAAGCAGCTCTATTATTGCTAGAGAAATTATAAAACGGTTCCTTGTCGGCGATTTAAAAACTGTGCACGTGTGACTGCAACGTTAATGCGATGTAGATCGCAGCAATCCCAATTTTAGCTTTACCTCATCGCTGGTGACACATTGCTGCGAAAGCTGGTTGAGGTGAGTCCACACTGTGTTCCTCAGGAAGCTAATACGCTCCATCGACTGTTTTTCAAATATCTGGGATTGAAAAAAATATATAAAAGAATTGGCATTTAGCACATTGCGTGTCTAATGCATTGATTGTTATCCTCAGCCTTACCTCGCAGGCGCTCACATGCTCCTTCAGCCAGTCGTCTCTAATTTTCCCCAGGGTTACGACATTCTGTTGGTATAATCTGTCTGCCGATGAAACAGATCCATCACGACAGATGTTCAGTTATATCGATTGGTTTTGTCGATCCTTTAGTGCTTAAAAGTCATACTTTAACGTAATCCAGCCAGTTCATCCTAGCGTTGCTTTTTTTTTTTTTTTTTTTAACTTACCTGCTTCTTCTGCGTTCAGTTTTGCCTGCTGAGCTTTTGACTGGAGCTGGAAAATAAATAACAGAAGCCTCAATGTAAATTAGGAATGTCTACAAGGAAAAAAAACACAAAAAAAAAACAGTGACATTTTCCAAAAATATCAAGTTAGAGATAATGCAGTTTACCCCTAAACTGGGATTAGCGTACACAGTGATCATTTATTCTGACAAACACCAAGCTTACTGAAGTTCAGAGGTTCAGAGTAGCAATTGTACTTCATCTTTTTTTTTCTTTTTTTTATGTAACACTATGATAGGTTTGTCTGTGTACCTTCTCCACAAGCTTGGTGTTGTTGGTGTTAGTGTTTCGGTTCATGTTCTGATCCGCTTCTTCTTTGTCACGGCACTTCTGCTCATATGTTTTCTTGGACTGGGCACAAAACCACAGCAGTTAGGAGGAACTGTCATCATTCTGAACTTTTTGTCACCACAAAGAATCAAAGCAAAACATAAATAAAACAAAGGAAATAAGTCTGTCGTAATTAGTTCTCCTTTCTCAACTAATTAACATCAAAATTTGCACGCTTTTCACTGTGAAGCCATGACTTTTTTTTTTTGTAAATGGTATACTCAGATGCTCAGACTTGATGCAACTCGATGGAGCAACTTCCTCCATCAAAGTAGAAGTAAAGAATTTGATATTTTACACGCAGTTGAAACTGTTTTGATGATTCTGCGTGTCCTATTTTGCTTCCTATACTACTCCGGGTTCTCATTTTACACGATAGGTTGCCCAAAAGTAGTGGAAAACAAGAGACGACTAGCGACATGTTTGTTTTCACTTTTATAAGTGTGAGTATTCCAACTTTGGTTTACATAAAACTACTTAAAGGTATGTGGAAGAATTAAAATGAACTTAAATTTTCTTGTAGATCTTTTTTTTCCCCCATTACAGACTGAAGTCACAAATTGGACTTCAAGAAAAAAGTGGAAACATTTGAGAACATGGTTAAAATGTTAGGAGAAGAGTGAAAATTCTCGGTTCTTTCTAAGAAGCACCCACATTGTGTTTACATGCTGAAAGAGAAAACATTTATTTATTTTTAAACTTGATCTAAGATATTTACAGAAGTCGCCGCAGGCCTTTGCACTAGAGTCATTTCTACTTTTTGTTCGTATGTTTTTTCCATTATTCACACGTGTTGATTTATAGAACACTTTACAAAACAACTAAAGTAATTTACAAAGATAAAAAAAAATCCAGACAAGGACGATCACTGACTAAATCTGTCATTTTCAGCTACCACTGTTTTATAAAAGATTAACGTATTTTAAGAGGTTTTACACACTCAAATCTGAAAGGTTCCGTAACATATTTTCATCTCAACTCACATCCATCGTCTTCTTAAACTGTGAGGACTTCTGTTTGTGGAGAGCATCCATCTGTTGTTCTATCTAAAAAAAGAAAAAAAAAAGAAAGAAAGAAAAGGTTACACGTCAAATTAACTCAGGTCACCTAAAATATATCACAGCATAAATAAGAGCACCAACTTTTTTCCTTGCTTCTTTTTGCTTTTCTTTGAAGTCTTCCAGTTTCTTGACCTCTTCCCTCATACTCTGCGCCAGTTGTAAGTGTGATAGACTAACATGTTCAGTCTCTTAAAGGAGAAAAAAAACCAAACAAACACGCTTTTAGTTGCATTCAGCGTGGAAAGCATGAACTCTAAGAGTCATTGTAGCATTGCTGTCAAGGCACTTACGTAGTTTAAACACGTCCAGGGATCTTTTTAATGTGCTTAAAATATAAAAGTAAAACAGATTACCACTCCAAATTTACATAAATGAAAAAAGTTCATTACCATATAGTTTCTTCCAATTGAAATGTCCCTATTCTTTTGTCACAGGGACAAGATGCTCTAACTTTTGAAAAAGGACTAATCAAGTGTCATAAAAGGAGATACCATCATCTTCACATATCCCTCTTCCTTCCTCTTAACACTAAAACCAGAACAGACATTTGACTAAAATGGAAACTTGTGTTTTTGAATAAGTAGCATGTTAGCAATAGGGACCGACTAACATCAAAAGGAAACTGAGAAGGGACCAGTATCGTCTGCTATTTTTTTATTTTAATGGTACTTATATTTAAAATGTGTTTGAATGAAATTGTCGTGCTTTTGCTGAACGTATCCGTGCCTAAATCTGGAAGCAAAGGCACAGGAAATTTATATTTCTGCAGGAAATATATCTACGCATTTAACAGAGCAAAATGCTTGTGTGCTGTATTTACAGTTGGTCAGTGGAGTAAATGGCTGCATCCGGACGGGGAGGTTGCTTACTTCATCTCATTGTGTCCACAAACTTTCTTGGACAAACTAAGCAGGTCTTTGGCGTACCTCTCTTCGATCGAAGCCCTGAAAGGAACAGTTAATAAACAGTGAGTCTTTTAAGAGAGTAGATATGTTTAAAAATGTAGCAGAAGCTATCTTCCAGTGTATTTAATAGTGATCTTACATTATTTAATGTTACACAGTTGTGCAGTTTTTAAGTGTAAGGTAAGAGATCCATGGCTTTTACCACTTATATGCATGCAGGTCTGAAATGTTGCATGCAGGTTTTAAACTTCTGTCGCTAACATCCTTTTCACACATCCTTCCAAAATAGTTCAAACTCAGTCGTAGTGGACAGAGAAAATTTTTTGGAACGCAGATGCCTATGTCATAAATAATGCCTTTGTGCCTCTGCATTGCCCTGCTGCTAATGAACTACTGCCCCAGTCTTAGTCTTCTGCAAAACCAAACCAAGCTTTCTTTCAGCTTTAAAAAGCTTTATCCATTTTTCCATCAGCTCTCACCAGCTTCACCAATCCCTGCTAAAGACACACAACCCTACACCATGAAGCCGCCACACACTATATATATATATATATAGGTCTAAAATACATTAGTTTCTGGTTCTAACATAACAAAATGTGGAAAAAGTTAATATTTTTGCAAAATGCTGCACCACAAACGTCTCCAAACAGATGCTCACTTTGCATCTCATTGCAGAACAGACTATTTGGAGGAAGATTTGTTTGCATATCAGCCTCTTGCTTGACTGATAAGCAAAAAAGGAATGTACATAAGCTGACTTGTTGCTTTGAAGCATTACCGCTGGTTACAATTCATGCTGACATGATGCATGAAAAGTACGTACAGTTGCTTCTTTACAAGTTACACCTGATGACACAGCTGAGAAAAATTGACTACATTCACCTACATTTGCCACCTGTGTCATGCAGAAACAGCTACATCAAGAGCTCAGAAGACTGGCTTAAAGTTTATATTGAGCTACTTATAAACCAAAACTGATTACCGGTATTTTGCTTTTTATGTTGGGCACACCAAGACCAAGCCCAGGCCTTTACACAGCAATCAATCAAGTGAAGAAACGCAGCACACAGATACCAGAGCAGGAAACAGCTACTCTAAAACTATTTTAGAACAAATATCCTTTAATAGTCCATTATTTTCTGACGCTGACTAGTAAACAGTAACACACAGCAGGTACAAAAACTCCCAACAAGGTTCTGCAAGAACAGACATGGTTTGAAGGCTCAATTCCCTTTAATTCTACTTTCCATTTATACAGTTTTAGATATGTTAGCTCGGTAACGTCTTTTTACAGCAACTGCCATGATCAAAAAGTCTTACTTCTTGTATTTTGCGAAGCAGTTTTGTCCACAGCATGCTTTCCTTTTTAATTTAAGGAACTTTCAGTTGTGGTATTGTGCAATCTACTTTTCTAGCTATTTCTATAGTTTATTACTGTCAATAATAATGACATGAATAGTGTTCTGTTGCACTAAATCATAATAAGCTCCTCAATAATTTACATTACTTTAGCTCAGGTTAGCGGTAGAAATAACAGGGTTTAACGTGTGTGTGTGTGTGTGTGTGTGTGTGTGTGTGTGGTGGGTGATAGCGCTAGGGTAGATTAATTATTATAGGAGGAAGGAGGAATTTAGAATGCAAACACATGACTTTGCATGACTCCACAATAAAATACGCCAAAAGATGCTTCACGAACACACTTTACTACTTAAATAATCAAGAAATGTTAGAAGGGGATCAATTTAGAGTAGTTAAGTGTAGAAAATAGCCTTTTGTAGTCTTGCTGCTCCAAGAAGTAACACACATTATTATATCTTTTCCTTTAGTATCTTAAATAATAAACTTTATTGCTTCCCACACTGACACAAAAAGCTATAGTTCCCGTTGCTTTAGCTTTTGGTTTTGGAATTTGGACCTGAGTATAATCAATTTCCTGAGCATGCATGAGAAAAGCCCTTACCTAGCTTTCATGAAGTCCTCCACCTCTTTGCATGTTCTCTTTCCGTCATTGAGATACTGAATGATGGCATCATAGCCAGCAGTGGATGTCAGATCTGGACACTGAAAAAAAAAAAAAAATAATAATTAGTTTTATTTTCTTTATTAAAAACACCTTCTAACATGTTCTCTTAACATACTATTTTAATTGTAACATGTTCTGCTTATGCTGTTGGAATTAGAAAAACTTCAATTTCCACTTTATTTAAATTTTTAAGCTTTGCGCCTATGTTAGAGTGTGACCCAGCAAAAATAATCTCAATTTCTACTTCTTTTGTATGGTGCAACAAGATCAATAAATGCAAATTTGATTAAATTTGAGATTTTAGGGGGGGTGGAGGGGTCAATTATAATTGTGCAAATTTGTTTTGAGCTTTTCTGTTTTGTGCTATTAGTTAAGAATTAAAGTACTGTATGTCCTCACTTGAATATGTAACAGGTACATGGAACATAAGCAATCAATGAAAAGGCTTAATACATATTATCAGATCGAATCTAACTAAATTATTATCTGCATCAAGTTTTAAATTAAAAAGTACATAACTGAGGCGCATAAATTTTTACATTTAATCTCCATTAGAAAATAAAGCGGAACACAAACAAATACCTCACCCAGAAAAAATCTTTGAAGTGAAGGTTCTTCATGACTGAAACACAGAAAGCAGCAGAGAGGCAGGGTTGCCTGGGCTGCAGGTGTGTACATTCCCTCTGCAACAAACACTGTGTGTCAAGTGTGAACAACTCTCTTGGGTCAATGTTTCGAGCGCGCAGTGATGATGACGCCGACAAATAGGTGGATTCCTGGCAGTCCCAAATGATGTTTGAGTATGCTGCCCTCTGCTGACTACAGATACCAATTACAAATTAAAAGCGTTTTTAAAAAAATATTGCTCTTGCAATTGAAAGCGTGCCTGAGGGACATCTTACTTAAATACCGAGAAATATGAGAAAACGGACTGAAATATAACCGTCGACGCAACCTAAAATAAGTAATACAGGAAGTACAGTCCCAGCAGTGCACATCACTTTGGGGCTATTTGTGATTTAGAATCACAATTAATTAAAGAAAACATTCTTGAGTTGCTTTAGCAGAAACAAAAAAATCATTTTCTGCACCATTAAATCTAAAAATAATCCACCCATTTCTATCAATTGTATTTATTAATGTCATTTAATTAATTTAATCATTTAATTAAATAAAAAAATAACAATAGTAGACGTGTAAGCAGAGCGTCATTCATTACCAAGCAAAGTCACACTTTTGAGTAACTCGGTTTTAAGCCAGTTTTCCATTACCGTACTTTTAACACAATCCTTTTGGCGAGTCACCACTTCTGAGCTCACGTCACGGCAAATAAAAAGGTCGTTTACATGCAGTACCTCACGGACCACCAGGGCGCGCCCGCGGACCACAGTTTGAGAACGACTGCACTGGCCGGTGTTCTGTCAGATCAGCCTACATTGTCAGATAGTCCTACGCTTAGCTCTGACATGTATAAGCAGTCATTACCATACGATTTTATTTAATCAGCAACATAGAATCATGACGTAGATCATCATACACTTTGTTATTAACAGTTATGTGACATCCTGACTTAGCGGTTAAATAGATTAATGAGTTTTACTCGGGCGTGTGTTGTAGTTGACTGGAGCGGTAGCCAGACCTGCTTTAAATACACTTTGAAACCACGACAACGCATGTATATCTATCTAGTTATCATATTATGTGATATTATAGACAATTTAATGACTTATTTTCGTCATAACTTGTTGCGTACGCTGAACTGACACCTCCAGACGGTCGGACTTCTTAATGCGCATGCGCGGGCATGCGTACTAACTGCATGTAGGCCGTCCTAACAGCGTATGGCTATCGGATAGAACACCGGCATCCTGCATGTTTTAGTTCTCTCCCTAGTGATAGTAACAACCTCCTCGGCAAGTCAATGTTCTCCTTATGCCTCTAATGAGCCATCATTTGATGCAGGTGTGTAAAACCAAGGAGAGAACTAAAACATGCAGGATGCCGGTTGTTTAGTTTCAAAAACAATGACGTCAGGTACAGTTTCGATGCCGCCCTCAGTTATATGCAAATACAACTGGGTTGCAGCACGGGTGGAACCGGACCGAAGCGTGCAGTTACGTTCCGTTCCGTGCCGGACCCTGCAGTGCGAAAAGGGCCTAAGGGAACAGTCAGAACAGAAAAGAACATTTTCTGGGATGTAAAAATAACACTAGCAAAGCCACTGGGCAATAATTTAGCTATGTAAACTAAATATCCTAGAATTACAGAAGTGTTCGGACAGGTTTGGACCTGTCCGCTCTCGCTGAAGCCCCTGGTATTAAGTTTCACCACCCAGGAATGGCATTCCTTCTTGAGGTAATTTTCATTTGTTGCAATGACACGTGCATATAATCGACCAGGGGCAGTTTCTGATTTGGGCAACTAGGGCGGTTGCCCTCTCGGCCCTCTATACCCATTCTCCCTCCTTCTCCCTCCTTCTCCACCCTCCACTGAACCATCTGAATGTCAGCCTAATGCAAAAAACCTGCTCTGTCGCCCTCCCTTTATTTGTGTTCCTACTTACCAGTTATCCTGCTGAATTATTGTAGGACAGATTTTATTGTATGATCAATTTATAAAAGTACCTATATGGCTGTAAAGGCCATCCTTTGACCAGCAGAGGCCCTGAGAAAAGTTTTTGGAAAGTATTTTCCTGGAAGTCTGCAAGGTTTCCTGAAACTTGAGCTTGAGTCACCATTTACTACAAGATCCTAACAGACGGAAATTATTTAATATTTCAATATAAATCGGATGTGTATCTGAATATGTGTTGTATCTGTAATATGACTGAGACAAGAAATAAGAGAAGATACAGAGTTCCTAGTCAAGATGCAGGTATTTTAATGACTGGCGCAAGTATAGACATGATGGGAATGTTCAATCGTCATACTGTTTAGAAGGGAGATGGGTTCTTCTGTCTCCCAGAGATGCATATCATTTTTGGTCTGAAATGTGCAAACTGATCCCAGCACAAGAGTCGAAGATCTTGTTAAAATGCTGGCTGAAGCTGTTAGAAGGTGTCATCATCCACAGTACAGTGTGTCCTGAACTGACATGGGCCAGGAGGAAGGAAAGAAAAAAAGCATATAAAGCCAGATAGCCGTTAGCAGCTGCACAACTACAAAGAGTTTTTTGTTTGGAGATGAGCCTTGTGGTCTGACGAAACCAAAGTGGAACTGTTTGGTCATGATTGCCATTGTTACATTTGCAGGAAAAAATGCGACACTTGGGAACACCGGCCTAACTGGGAAGTATGGGGATTCCAATGCTGGTCCAGTAAATGCAAATTATTTTCTAATTGTAACTGACCTGAGGCAAAAGAAATTTGGTTTGATTTAATAAGAAAAACATATATATTACTGACTTTTTATTGAGTGATGTACATTTTTGGTTTCAACTCTAGTTTTTTAACATTAGTTTTGTTATTATTACAATAAATACCAGAAAATATGGTAAAATTGATTAAAACAAAAAAAGCTCATATCATTCACCTCTATGATGTATTATCTTTTTGATCTTTGTTAACTTGTACTTTTTTCTAACTTAAATAAATCAAAGAAGAATCATTAACTGGAGTGCTGGTGTTACGCTGGTGAGTGCTGATCTTAAATAAACCCATATTTCCTGTGAAATACACAGATTTCAGCACTTTATAGGTATTTCTCAGTGGAAAGTCCTAGATGTAACTTTTGTGTTTCTGATTCTGAAACCAATTCAGTATTTTGGAGAGCATTTTAATAATACCTATCTGGCTAAACA